TTAATTGCATCTTTCCATAGTACATCTTTCATCTTTATATAGTTATGCAATTAAATTAATCAAAAAAAATTATATTTAATAAAATATACATTTATGCATCTTTCTATAGTACAATTATATGGGGCCTGAGTGGCCGAGCGGCTAGCGCTCGGTACCACAGGTATCGGGTTCGAGTCCCGGCAGTGCCATGGATGTTGTAGTGGTTCGGAATCCACTTTAAACCGTAGGTACCGGTCCTAAAAGGATCGTAGAGCGTTGCGGGAGCATTGTTACTCCGCGTCCGTGGCTTATCCTTAAGTTACACGCGACCCCTGGGTAATGCAAAGTGAGTAACGTCTGTGCAGTGCTTGCATTAAGGCATCAAAGACAATTATCTAAGTGTTTGCCAGCTGCATTAGAACAAAAAAATAGTACAATTATTGGCAAATACAGTGACTACTTAAACAGTAAGCAAGCAAGTGTTGAGAAATTTTTCGGCAATGAGAGTTTTAAAATGCTGTCTTGGATGAACAATGAAATAAGATCTTATAGAAGCCATTGCAGCTTTAAGAACAAATATGATTTAATGTATCTCAAACATATCAGGTTTGTAAAAATTTAAAAAAATGAAAGAAAAAAATGTTTGTTTGCGGTTTTCTTTTATTTGTCTTCAGCTATTACATATTTTTTTTTTATTTCCAATGGCAAGGCAAGTACAAGAATAAAAATAGTAACAATAACAAAAATAACAAGGAAAAAAAATACAAAAGAATGAACGTCCAAAAAAAATACAAAAGATGGCCGAAGTCTTTGCCTTATGAGTTCTCTCGCACGCCAGTAAAGCTCTGTCTCCGAGTCACCGTCAAGTACCGCACATCGTTGGAGGTGGTCTCTGTTCATTGGGTCTGTTGAACCACATAGGGGGCAGCCAGGGTTCGAAAAGATTTTAATGCGATGGAGATGTTCTGCTAGACAGTCGTGGCCAGTCAGAAGTCGGAACTGGGCGACAGCAGGCCAGCATGCGGATTGCTGGGTATTGCTAAAAGATCTTCAGCTCTCCAACGCTTTGACTTAATCCCATCTTGAATTTGAATTCTTAATCCATCTATTACATAGATCTTTTCTTATTATTATTATTGGCCCAACATCCCCATGGTAGGCCAAGGACACATGCCTTCTGACAGATTTCGAGACAGGCGATATTTTCTTTTTAAGGGGTGGGGTTGTCAGCCCAATAGTCATATCAAACCAAGACCTACAGTTTAAAGTGGATTCCACTACAAACATCCAAGGCACTTACGGGACTCGCGTAAAAATATTTGGGTTTTTTTTTTCCAGAAATCAGGATGCGTTCTTCCGCTGTGTGCTTCTTCAAATATTTGATAAATACCAAAGTCTTCGAAAATGTACTCGATCGCTTATGATACATACTTTTATGATTAACAAAATGTATCAAAATCGATTATGATACATACTTTTATGATGCATACTTTTATGATTAACAAAATGTATCATAATCGATTATGATACATACTTTTATGATTAACAAAATGTATCATAATCGATTATGATACATACTTTTATGATTATCAAAATGTATCATAATCGATTATGATACATACTTTTATGATTAACAAAATGTATCATAATCGATTATGATACATACTTTTATGATTAACAAAATGTATCAAAATCGATTATGATACATACTTTTATGATTAACAAAATGTATCATAATCGATTATGATACATACTTTTACGATTAACAAAATGTATCAAAATCGATTATGATACATACTTTTATGATTAACAAAATGTATCATAATCGATTATGATACATACTTTTATGATTAACAAAATGTATCATAATCGATTATGATACATACTTTTATGATTAACAAAATGTATCATAATCGGTCATCACAATTTTTAGCATTTTTTTTTTTTTTTTTAAAATCAGTGTGAATCATTTGTATTTGCAAATGATTGATAAACATGTTAATCAATCATAATCTGATGAACCTGTTAATTATTTATAATCAAAAAACTAATTAATTAAAAAAATTCAGAGATGTAAGTACATCATTTTTAAGCAAAAAATATAATATATAGCAGCTAGTTAAACTTTCCCTTTGATGTGTATTATATTATACAGTTCAATTTTTAAACAATAGTTGTAAAATTTTAAATATTTTTTTTTTTTTACTTTTTTTACAATTTTTTTTTTACTTTTTTTATAATTTTAATATAAATTTTTTACTATTTTTAATAATTTTTATACATTTTTTTTTTTTTAATACTTTTTATACATTTTTCAGTTTTTATACAGTTTTTTTTACTTTCTATAAATTTTTCAACATTTTTTTTACAATTTTTTTTTTTAAAAATGTTTTACTTTTTTTTTAAAACTTTTTATACAGTTTTCATGTAAGTTCTTCTGGAAAGTATTACTATTAAAAACAATAGAGTTTACAAACCTAATTGGTGCTACATTAGTAAAGTTATTAGCTAATTAGAAAACTTACTGTTTCAGTTATTGAAAAAGCAAGTGTTTTCTTGATTGAAAAAAAAGCATGTTCTTGATGCCTAACTACATTCCTTACTAAAAATAATATATCTCCCACTTACAATGTTTTTCAGCTATTAATTTAAATTACTCTCTGAGGTTTAAATTTGACTGGTTAAATTTCCATTAAGAAGATTTTTAAAAAAAGAAAGAAGATTTAATTGGGTCCTACATCTTTCTGTTTTAACCAAGAATTTGTCTGAAGCCAAAAGGGATTCTCACGTTCTCAAAATAGCAGAGCACTTAGCGATCTCATTAGTAAAAAATTTCCCTTGGTATCTTCCGATCCCAGAATAGTAAAAATTACATACTGCGAATATATTATCCATGTTAAAATATTTTTTTTCTAATGCAGCTGGCAAAACACTTAGACATGGACGTCTTGGATGCCTTAAGGCAAGCGCTGCACAGACGTTATTCACTTTGCATTACCCAAGGGGCGCGTGTCACTTGAAGATAAGCTACGGACGCGGAGTAACAATGCCCCCGCAACGCTCTACGATCCTATTAGACCGGGACCTACAGTTTAAAGTGGATTCCGAACCACTACAAACATCCATGTCACCGCCGGGACTCGAATCCGAAACCTGTGGTACAGAGCACCAGAGCGCAGCCACTCGGCCATTCAGGACCGATGTTCCAATATAGGTGCAAATTAATTTTCATGGATATCGTTTGAACTGTATCTAAGAAGAAATGCTGCAGCACCCTCTGTTGGCAAGTAACAATAAAGGGGATAGAGCGAACATATTTCGACAATATTGGAATTCTATAATATATTCTACATTTCTATAATACTGGAATATGTGATAATTATCACATTTACGAAAGCATACAGGGGTAGGATCATAGCTGCTGTAAATTACAGGTTATGGGTTCAGTCATTGATTAGCTGCAGGATTAATTTAAATTAACTTTGGAAAACTGTACTAACGTTTTAAAGTAACTCACGTATTACTAACGTTAACTGTACAAGCGGATAGCGAGATCCTATTTTCCATGCTAGAATACATATTATTATCAATTTTCATAGCGATTGGTTGAGCGGTATAAAAGTTGATATACTGCATCAACTGTATAAAAGTTGATATACACCCTCTGGTGGTGACTTACAACAAAGGGGCATAAAAATAACAAAGGCATAAAAATATTATCCATGTTTTGTAAAACACACACACAAAATTTTCATCAAAATCGGTCACGCCGTTTAGGAGGAGTTCAGTGACAAAGACACGTACTGAAGGACTCGATTGCAGTGCCACCTACCGTGTGCAATTGTGAATTTAAACCATCTAGGGAACTATTCAAACACAATACTACAACTACTACCACTACTATACCACAACACACCACATCACTGTGCCTAGAGCTAAGTTCCCCTTTACAGTCTGGGAAGGATGTGGGTGAGAAAAAGTCTGATTTTGCTCTGTAAAGCTCTACGATCATATGAGACCGGGACCTACTGCTTAAAGTGGATTCCGAACCACTACAAATATCCATGGAACCATCAAGATTCGAACCAGAAACCTGTGGTACCAAGCACTCAAACACACACAAGAACTTTCGTCAAAATCGGCCAAGCCGTTTTGGACTAGTTCAGTAACAAACACATGTAGAGAAGAATTATGTATATAAAGATTCGAATGGATGTAGTTTTCTTCCGGAAAGAATTAGTATGATTATTAAAAACAATAGAGTTTACAAAGCTAATTGATGCTACTTTAGTAAAATTATTAGTTTATTAGAAAACTTGCTGTGTCAGTTATTGAAAAAGCACGTGTTTTTGTTACTATTAGTTTCCTACTGTTAGTTCACACTCTACCTATATAAATTTTTATATCTTGTTCAAAATTTCAATCTTTAATAAAATACTTTTTATTCCTCCACTCAAGTTCAGATATATTTTTTTGAACTTGTAGTGGATGACACTGATGTTAATACAACTTTTTCAAATATTAATTCATTAATTAAATTAAATTAATTAATTGAAGCACTGGACTGCTCGAAACTGACTGAAAAGTTTCCTTGCAAAAATGAAGCATTACAAGAGATGGATAGAAAGAGTAATTATAGACCATTATCAGCTTCATAAATTAGAAACGAAAAAAAATAGAAAGCGAATAAATAGTAACAAACAAAAATAATAGTCCAACCCCATATATGTTGTTGTTTTGTTGTTGTTTCTTATCCCACTTGGCTGGCCAAGCCCACGAGCCTATACGTGCTCATGATTGAAGGGGAAGCAAGCAGCTTCTGTTGTGATGGAGCACCCGTAGGTAGAAGCCTGACTTTGGCTCCGTGACGCTCTTACAGTCATAAGAGACTGGGACCTACAGCTTAAAGTGGATTCCGAACCGCTACAAACATCCATGGCACCAACGGGATTCGAACCCGAAACCTGTGGCACCGAGCGCCAGAGCGCAAGACACTCGGCCATTCAGGTCCCAAATTTGCCAACGGCACGCGGTGTTCCCAGGTGGTCACCCACCCAAGTACTGACCGCGCCCCCAATGATGCTTGACTTCGGTGATCTAACGAGAACCGGTATATTCAGCATGGTACGGCCGTTGGACACACCATATATAAAAGGAAAATGGAAAATTGTAAGGCCACTTTGTATTTTATTTTGCCACTTAAAATTACGATTCAGTCATATATATATATATATATATATATATACATATTTATATTAATTGTAATTATTTAATAAAAAGTAACTAAAATAAAATTTTTCTTTGTTGCCCTAAGTAGGAATTGATTTAAATTTTTTTTATATTACTTGTTTGCCTGAAGAAAAAATATGTACTTGATGACAATCTGCATTCCACACTAAAAATAATATATCGTCCACTTATAACTTCCGATATAGGAATGCTGACCAAATGCCGTCTGCAGCATTCTATACGTTTCCGCAAGAAAAATTAAATGCAAGTTCTTTGCTCAATTAATGCAGACATTTCAAAAATGCCGGAATCAATTTTAGCGCATCACAAAGCCAAGCGTAACTCAAGCACTAATGAATATTTTGAAGTCACATTTCACACAGATGTCAAGGATAGTGCCAACAATCTAAAAAAGAAAAAAAATTTAAATACCATATGCCCGGGAAATTTAAATTGAAAATTGGTCTTACTTTTTGGACACAGTAGTACATTCCTTACTAAAAATAATATATCTTACACTTATTATATTTTTTCAGCTATTAATTTAAATTGCTCTCAGAGGTTTAAATTTAGATTAAGAAGTTTTAAAAAAAGAAAGAAATAGGATTTAATTGGCGCTACATTTTCTTGCTATTTTATTCAAGGATTTCTCCGAAGCCCCAAAAGGATTCTCACGTTCACAAAATAACAGAGAGCCCTTAGCCATCTCATTAGTAAAAATTTTCCTCTAGTAACTGCCCATTCTTCCTTCTCTCTAATCAGAGAGACCGACGAAAAATAATAATCGCAACGCACAAGTAATGTTTCCTGGCCGAGAGTTGAATAACCAATTAGAACGACGATGCACTTCCTCTTCCTAGACGTTTCTTCGCTCTGCTTTCTTTTTCGCTCTCTAGTTGGAGAGCCTCTTTGTTTCATCCAGACAACGTAGTATATGAAAGTAACTTCTTTTTTTCAAAAGGAAGTGGAGCCAGTAATGATGCAAGGGGAATTCGACATGATGCCGTTGTGTCGATAAAGTATTCGATTATATAGAAGAGTCAAGTGGATTGCTTTTGGGGATGGGGGAATAATAATTTTGGAGTCATTAGATAAGCTAAATAAAGCTCCAAAGGAGAGATAGTTTTTCAAAAGTTTATGTGGTAATCACACTATTCGATATTCTACTTTAGACAATTTGATGTTTCTCACCAGTTTTAACGAGACGAGATGTATAAGTTTAGCGGATCATGTAGAAATTTTCCAAATTTATTTTATAATATTCCTTTTAATTGTAGTATTATTCACATATTTTTATTATAAGGAAAATAAAAATTCTTATTCGAGCTAGGTTTGATTTTCTGAGGTAGTTGGGTAATTGGAATTTAGTGGCCCAAGGACAGTTTTGGCCATGATGAGCCAAATAGTTGGTAAATTTTAATAATAAAATCGTGGTGTTGATATTGTTTCAAATTTCCCTGGTGCAGGAAAGCCTATACCAGGTCCAATAGATCCCGTTGCAAGCTACTTGTTCATCGCTGAAGGTAATATGCAGCTTCACTTTAGCTAGGAACCACGAGGATTGAAGACTGATTAAACCTAAAGACAACGCTCTACAATTCTATTAGACCGGGACCTACGGTTTAAAATGGATTCCGAACCACTACTAATACCATGGCACCGCCGGGATTCGAAACCGAAACCTGTGGTACCGAGTGCTAGACCGCTAGTCACTTGGCCATTCAGGCCTCTTTTATTAAAGGTATTATTATTATTATTATTATTATTATTTTTACTATTTTTAAAAACAATAAAGTTTACAAAGTTAATTCCTGCTGAATTTGTTAAGTTATTA